CCACAACTTCCACTCTCTGTTTGTTACGAATGTTTAAAGAGCTCTAAGTGTGTGTCTGACTGAGGCCAGGGCTGGCTGAGCCACATCAATGACTGTATAAATATATGTTTTCTACAGTCAGTGAGCTACACACACATGCAGAGCAAAGAAGCCACACCAGACAGGATGAAGGAGGTCTGAAAATATTAATTTGTGCTTTTGAATGTAACGGTCCTGAAACATTTGGAAAATAATGTTGATTTTTCTGTTTCAGTGCTTTGGTCTTGCTAATGCTCTTGTCATTCACTCTTGTTCAACCATAGCTCCCTCTCTCGCTTTTATTTAGCCAGAAAGGAATGGTAGTGTTTAATATGTTTACCATCTGTCACTATAATTGCTGCATATCAAACATTTCTCTGAGAAAATACCTACACATGTATGCATATCTGAAAAATAAACCTTTCTATACCAAAAAAAAAAAAAAAAAATTAACAAGCGCTTCAGGCTGACCTAATTCACCTGACTAACATTTTAAAACACTTTCACATCCTTGGACGTAAAACAATGTCATTCTGTTGATAATGCTGCTCTTGGACAAGGTCTATATGCACAAGGTGTCCTTTGGCAATGGTGCACAGCCAATATTAGACACAAGATATTATTAGACATTAGGCAGAGATAACATCTTTTAAAGAGCAATAAAACCCTTATTAGAAGGTCAGAGGGGGTAGAGAGGAAGTAAGCTGGAACTTTCAGAGCCAGGAGACCACAGTTTGTGTCCCTTTTGGGAGTTCTGTGTTTTGCACTGTACCTGGTTAGTTTCAGATACTGAAAGCTGCTTTACAAAAAGATCATAGCTTAGGTTAAAATATGCCCCTTGACAACAGTAACTCTGCATGTTGTAAAAAGAAACCCACCCGTTTTATTTAAATGTGACGAGATGGGAGCAAGACACCTGTTTCCCTATTGCCATAAAGAGACCTTCTGTGTATCTGTGAGACACCAGCAGCTTTGATAAAATGGCAGAAACAGATGAAAACACGAATGAGTCGATTTATATGTAGCGGGATCATGACCACCCAAAGAAATCAAAAACAAAGGATGGAAAAAAAAACAGGCAGTAGAAACCTGCTAATTCTTTGAGGGATGCATTACATCTTGCTTGTTGGAAATTTTTAGGTAATAGTTATTTTGAATTAGACCACTGTAGATCTCTAACACAATGCAAATTAATTAATAAATAAATCATGGAATCATTGAATAAGGCACAAATAATCCCTCCAGGCTTTACTGAGCTTTACTGCCTGCTCAGGACTCGTCGCTGGCTACTGCACAAATTTATTTCTTCATGAGCCAGTGCACAACCTCTGATCCTCTAGCAGGGCTGTGTTTACTTATCTAAGACTTAAAATCAAAAGAAGGGGTAACTGGGATTTTTCCCATTAGGACCTTTGTATAAGATAGTGGACTCTGCCCAAGGACCTCAGGCAATGCCAGAATCAATATTATCTTAATGTTTTTTAAAAAAGTACACATTTTTATGTGATGGTGGCAGTGTTGCCTCAAACTGAAAATGAATTATTTGAGAATACTGTGCTTTTCACTGTGGAGTCTGTGTGTTATCCACTGTCCTGCTTGGGTTTCTTCCCACAGTCCAACGGCACGCAGGTAAGCTGAAGCAGATTTATTCATGGCCCCTTTTCTATATGATTTAGACCTGTGGCAAACCTGTCCAGATTGCAGCCTGCCTCACCCCAAATGTTTGCTGTCAATGATTTTTCTCTTTCAGAACCTGAAGTAGAATAGAAAATGGATGTAATTAGATTTTTTTTAATATCATTTTTTATACTCATGATGTCTTGTGTGTTTTATCTGACAAAGCTTTTAATTCATTTTAATTCTGAGCTTTGAATATGCTATACAAATAAATGGGAGCCTTGTTTTTGATTCAGATTTGTACTGAATGATTTCTTTGCAGACCCAGGTAAAGCGCTGTCACACAACCGTGAGAGAAAAGTCATGGTCATTATCTAATCTTTGAATGAAACGCTTCTCTGCCCATGGAAAAGGTGTCATTTTGTGAAGAAAAAGACATACAATTTTCTATCCGAGTCCAGTTTTTGTAAAGAGTGAGTGGCCATCTATCTATTGTACTCATCTCATTTTATTAATTCACCTTGTCAGAGTGCTGCATTTGTAGTCTGGTTTTCTTATGCAGTGTACTTGCACTGCATTTTAGCTAAATGAATTTGTTTTTACACTGCTGAAGGTGAAAGCTTTGTTTTTAATGCCTGAGAAAAAAAAACACGCAAAAAAAAAACTAATGCTATTCAGCTATTAGGCTATGTGTGATTGATATTTTCAGCAGCACACATTCATATTTCCCCAATGTTTAATCAATTGTCATTACCCAGCCAAGTACAAAGAGAAGAGGATATTTAATTTGCACACAGCTATCCCCCTGGAGAACTGTCAATCACCAGCCATCTATCTACATAACTAATGACTGGCCTCATGCTGCCCTTGGAGTTGGGGGGATATTCTGATTTATGGCAATGCATTCATATGTTCACATGTTCAGGTCATCACTGCATATTGACACTTTCCTAGACGGTGACGGAAGATGAATGAAAGGCTCATTTGCATTTTCATGGATGTACAGTTGCAATTGGAGGATCTCATTTCCCCTAAATATGGGCTTACTCTTCAACCTCAGCTTTTACAACATTAGTCACATGACCTCTTTGACTGCAGATTTTGGCCACCTAGACAAGATTGTGGTCTACATAGTTTGTTTAAAGGACATTTACATGCAACCCTTCCTTTATGATTGTGAGTAGGGAGCTCATGCTGACCTACATTTGTATAAATCCATCCAGCGTACGACATTTGCTTGTCAGTGAGCAAATGCTGTTAGGCTAAAAGCTATGATTAATAATGAATGGCCAACCACTCCTTGGCACAGATGCACAAGTAAATACAAACACTGATGCAGTATGGATCAATACAGTATAATAGAGTACAATGCATATTGATGAAGCCAGGGATGTAAAATGTGATTTAAATTGTGAAATCAATTTGAGTTTCTTCTTTAACATAACTTAATTACTGGTGCACAATTTTTAAAGACTATCCATCCATATGCTAATTACAGAATTTTTCTGTAGTTATTTTTTTGACTGAAATAACTACAGAAAAAAAAAGATTTGCAACTATTCTGCAACTGCAATAACGTGAAGTCAAGTTGTGCTGCTAATTGTGGCATCACTGCTATACTTGTAAAATAGTGTGGCAGCATATATTTTGTCATGCTGCTGTTACTTTAGTTTTGTAGAATAAAAGTCTAGCTATACCTTTTTTTTTGTCGAGCAGTGATGGATGAGTTATGTTTGAAACATAGTTCAATGTCACTTCTTAGCAAACTATGAGTGGATACAGTAGCGCTACTGAAAAAAAACTGACATTTCTTTGAAACCCAGTTATGAAAGGACTTGAATGTGAATCCAAGCCACTGTCTGAAGGGCCATTTTAGCAGCAGGTCAGAAAGATAAAAGCAACTTCATAAACCTCAGCATCCTCTGGTGACTACGACAATTACTGTAGTTTGGCAGAAGGCAGCCAGGAGGGATACACGCTGAGAGGAGAGTCTTTGTTTGTCTGTGGCCTGTCATATGGTCTGTTTGTTTCCATCTACAACTATTCTCTGAATCTACCCCTGGTGTAAACAAAACCTAGCTCCACAATTATTCATAATTCAGCAGACATCTTCAGCAAACAAGTGGCAAACAATAATTAGTAACAGAGATGCTCTATTTACTTTATCTCCGTGATCTCATTTACAAAGCAATTCACTGAGTAATTTAGTTTATTGCACCAAGGGAGATGTAGTTTTTACCAAAAAATCAAATATTTATTTAGCTTTTTTTTTCATTTTCCATACATTTGCAAGTTAAGGTCAACACTGAAAAGGCTGTGGATACCAGGTGGATGTGACCACTTCCTTAATCACATTATCCCATAAAACTCTTTCTTTAATTAGACATAACCGTTCTTCCCTTACCCCAAAGGAAATAAAATGTCAAAAGGAAAATTAAACATCTCAGGATATGAAATAAACTGAACATATTGTACACATTCACACACAAATCTGGAATAAAGATTGGCTCCCTGTAGGACAAGGCTGAGCATCAGCCAATTCCAGGAAAACAGTCATTTTGTTTCGTCTTAAATCACTGCTGCGGTTTGTGCCTTATTGCCTTAAAAATGGCTGTGGAAAGGATAAGAAATGATTAACACACATTTTTTTCTCAGTTTGTCACCATAAACTCCCCTCCTTTTTTTTTATAAATCACTAAAATACAGCAAAAGTGCATCAGTCTTTGCCATTCAGACTAAACTGGCAGCTGTTTTCTTCGGCAGTTCTATTATTCAGTGTGTTGCCTCTGTTCTAGTTTCCTTTGCTTTTCGTATATCTGTTTGAAGTTGGTTATTATTTTACAAAAGTGGTCATAGAAAATAAATAGAAATATTTTCCAGAATGTAATTTTATATGACCCAGATGTCATCTCTTCACTGGTATTGTGTGGACTCCCCTGCTAATGCAGTTCTTCTTTCTTCCATGTTGTGTCGTTTGATTCATGATGTCCTTTTCCCCTCACTTTTTCATTAACACTTTAGCAGAGTTCACTCTTGTAGTTACCATAGTGAGCATGGTATAAATAAATAAATAAATACATAAAAACAAATAAATACATAAATATTTCGGCATCAAATAAATACATGACACTTTACCTTGGCATGGTTTACCCCCACCCATGTAATGCTGACAGTCCGTCTTTTAACTTAAAATAAATGTTCTTCTTTCCTGAGAGAAACAAACTCTCCCTTTGCACACGGTTAAATAGCAGTTTTAGATATCGCTCATTCTCTTCCTTATTTCATATGATCACCAGAGCTTTTTAATTTAAATCTTAAAACTCTCACACACAAGAAAAAACAAACAAGCGTAAAAAAAAGAAAGCAAAAAAAAAAAAAACCTCTCAAAGTTTTCTCAAAGGAGTTCAAAGTCTGAGACTGGGAATTTTGCTAAAGAGATAAAGAGGTGGTACTCTGACTTTAATGAGTACATAGACTGGCTCTGATCTCAGTAGCCTGCCAGAGGGTGAGAAGGGGAGAGAGATAAGTAGGAGGAAGAAGAGGGTGTTTAAAAGTGTCTCTGCTGAGAAGAAGCTGTGCTAGGACCTTTCCTCCTCAGGGTTTCCTGGTGCGTAGTAGCCTGCCAGTTGCCTGAAGCGTGGTCCCCATTCGCTGAGATAGGAGAAATCCTGTTCTGAGGTGGTGGACAGTGTATGAATGGAACTTAGCGAAAGCGCCGGTGAACTGGTGCCCTCAAAGGCGTATGTCTGGAAGGAGTCATATGGTGGCACTGACAGGTCAGCATCAGCCTGCTCCACCTTCTTTCGAATGTAGCCTTTGAAAAGGGAAAAGTCTGTTGCTGCCGCAGCAGCTGCCTCTGCGCCACTGCCACCCACTCGTTTAGCTTGTATCCACTGTGGCAGTGAGCGGATGTCTGGGCCAGAGTCACAGCTCTTGGCCTCTGGAAAGTCATAGAGGTTCCTCAGAGCACTCATGTCATATGCCTGAGTGTCCTGCTCCCCTCCACCCTCATCGTTGTACTTGATGACGTTATCCCTCATGTCCTCCTCGTCCTCTGTCATCCTCTGGCCCTTCCTGTGGCGTTTCAGGGTTAGAATCAGCAAAACAAGAACTGATGGACAGAGAGAGAGAGAGAACAAGAAAGTGAAAAGAGACGATATTTGTAATTCTACATTAAAATAACATATTCAATTCAATTCAGTGAATAGATTTTAAGACAAACACAAAAACACATATATCCGCAAACGTTCCCACACATGAATTCTCGTGCTTTGGTAAAACACAGATAAAAAGGTTCTCATTTACAGGTTTCTCATCACACAGAGGCTTAAACATATTGCATGCAAAAAGTGAATCCCTTTGACATTTTGTGATGAAAAAACACATAAAATGCCTACAGGTTAAGGCCCTTTTTTTTTTTTTTAAAATGTCCTATCAGTCTGTTAATCTGACTGTCAAACTGTCTCTTTCGCATCTTCAACCCATCTGGATTGTCCACTTCATCTTAAACAGTCTTTTTCAGCCATCTGCTAACTCACCGCCGGTGGCTAGGGTCCTTGCAGTCTAGTCTACCTCGCCTTCATCTGGGGTTTCATTCTATGATGTTGCTTTTCATCTGAGTAAAATGCTTCTATTTTGCATGCTCAGGTTTCTGCAATAAATTCCGCTCGTTACGTGTTCTCTTTCTCCTTACTGAGCTAGATGTGTATGTCGAGCATACACTGCACATGATGGATTTGCAAGTGCTTTCCATAGGAAAGTTTCTAAATACACCCATAGTAACTTTGATTTCACCTCTCGGGGCAAAGGCACCGCAGGGGAAGATAATATATTATCAAGTTTTACATTTCAAATGCATGAGCATTGATTTTTCAACATCTTGATTGCCTCGCTCAGAAATATGATTCAAAAGGCTTAATGGAGACCAATCTGTATATCAATACTCATCCAAGTCAAGTGAAAGTAAGAGTTTTTGTTTCTTCAGCTAAGAAATTGAGGAGACCACTCAGAAAGAGAGATAAATGCTTAAAAGTCTTGATTAAAAAGAATTGTGATAGATCCTGTTATGGACTAATGAGATGAGAGGAAAACAAAGGCTGTATGCACAGATAAATCAATCTGGCTTCAATTTCAGCTTAGTTGTTTTAATTACTGCCTTCATTTGTGATTAGACAAGTCTCACTTAGCTCAGACACCCACCCTCTAACTTCGTCATCCCTCCTCAGGGCTGCACTTTTCCCTCTGAAACTTCCACCAGATTTGTCTCAGATTTGCAACAACATTAAATGTCATTTACAGTGATGGTAAAAACTTATTAGAGCCAGTTATTAATGAATGATGCACACTGGGGAGTGTGACAAAGATAATGAACAACTCAATTTTGAGTAGTGGGATAAACAGCAATCTAGCTGCTCTTTGATCAGGTTATTAGCAAAGAAGAATGTGCAAAGGGATTTTTCTACAGTGCATAGTAAATACTCTGAAAGACAAGGATAAAAGTACTTTATTCTGATGTGCCTGTCAATACGATTGTACTAACATTCATTTATTAAAATAAAAGGAGAAAAAATCTACTGTAGATCAAAAACTGAACTGTACAACAGCATCAAAACAGCTTCTGACTCACTTCCTTGGTATTTTGTTATCGTAATGCACATTCGTTGTTGTTGTTGTTTATTTTTGTTCATGAAAAACGATGGTCTTTCGCTTCTGAGGGCCATATTTCACAAAAACCAGATTATAAATGGCAGCACTGTCCTGATTCACAAAACACTGCCAATTGCAAATTGCTGACAAATTGGCAAGTACTACAACACTCTTGCAGGCTCAGAATTGTTTCTGTCTCTAAAATGGAAAGCTAATTATTCTACTCTCCCGTTTTACAATATAATCTCAATAAGGGAAAATAAGTTGCCTGGCATGTTCTCTAAAATGCTTTGTTGTACCTACAGTATTTTTTTTCCTTTTAGCAGGCACAATAAGCAACAGCTCCAAAGGGATGCCAGTGAAGGGACATTCAGATAGATCATTAAGCAGTACACATCATGCATCTTCTGGAACAGATAGCCTAAAACAGATGCCTACAAGCCCACAGAGATAAAAAGACTATCAATTATAATGGTGCCTGTGCTGTCCTGGATGGCACATATTGTTTGATGCCCTGAACCCAAAATACCCATTCATACATTGTGAAAATGAGCTATAGTGACGTTGTTTCCGAGTCAAAATAGATGGATGTTAGAAATAGGTGCTGTGTACAGGAAATCCATACATGTTAAAGCATGTATATAAATATGCATAAGGGCACGGAAAATGTGATGCTGAAGGTCATATGATTATATTAATAAATATTTCACCTTTCTTCCCATCTCATTTCTTTGTACACCCTACACAACATTAGAATATAATAGTGATGGGATCTATACAACGAGTTGTTGCTGTTCCTGGCAATTGTTTTTCAATTGCTATAAATGCCCTAAAATTCATTTGTAAAGTGAAACACCCAGGGGGTTCATTGCCTACAGAGCTGTGACACAGACTAAAAAGCTTTGCTGATCTTGAATTGGATTTTATTCATCATCTCTGACTGATATGTACAGTTGTTCTCTTCTTACATTGTTTGCTGGGCTCCACTGGGATACGGTGTCTGTAGCCATTGTGTTTATTCTTCTCCTGTATGAATTGGGTAAATTAATTGCCAGGCGGCTGAAGAAAGAGTCACGGTTTGTGGTAAACTGTGGCACACACAGCCATGCATACTAACCAAGCACTAAGACAATTACTCTAAATTCACACTAATGTGAAGTATAATAGGAGGTAGGAAACTATGAACTCCTAGGTGCAGAACAGCCTCCCTTCAGTAAACTGTGTTAAAGAGTATGTGCTATTATGTGGCATTCTGAAGCGAAGATGATCTGATAGCCTCACTTTTCAAAAACCCTCCTAATGGAATTTACCTTTTAGGTATACAGATGCTTGAATTGAAAGCCACTGAAAACATATTTAACTAGGAGATTAGCACGTCTAAATTTCAATTCAACACCATGTACAGAGTTTACTCTTGCAGGAAGCATATGTACCTGCGCATAGCTGTCTCTTATACATACAAAGCTGGTCCCTATGTGTACAGATGTTGCGATAAGCGTTCCTGACAAGACGGTTAATTTACCCTTGGGCTGCGCTGGTTGCCCCCATGCGGGAGTTCATCACAAGCAGATGGGAGGTAATTGGAATAGATGCATGCAGATGCTGCAACGCAGTGAAATGGATTCATCACATCAGGCCTATAAATGAACTGATGGAGGGATTGTTTGTTCGTAAGGTAATTAGGCAGAAATTTGTTTTCATTTTTCTCATCACCCAACAATTGATATAATAGAGGTTGCCCAGTCTCTGGAGAGAGTGCTAGCTTGTTGGTTAGGCAGTCAGAGTGTATATCTGCATATGTGGGAGAGAGAAGATGATGTGCACACAATAACGTTGAATAGAGAGAATGAATTACATTGCAGTTACTAGGAGTGGAGTTGTTAATCTAGGTTTGCAATTTGTATAGGTGTATAGCATGTTATGTGGTGTAGTATGAAAAAGGAAAAGAGGAAAGTGTGCAGCTGAAGTGATACGATTCCTGTCACATGTCCCACTCTAGTGTTGTTATTCACACTACATGATAGTTGTGAAAACAGTGTTTATCCCCCTGATCCTAACCCCTGCAGTCCTGAGATTTGACTGTCCACATGATGACTAGCAGAATGTAGGCGCTTTAACCTAGCATGTCCTTCAGCTTTTTATATGAGGCACATTTACAGGCAAGAGAATGGCACGGATTACTTACACCATCGGAATAAAGAAAAAAACTGCATACTGCTTGTTTTTGTTCACTAAGCCACCCATTAAATAAAATATTTTGTACAGTCTATTTTCATGCACAGAATCGAGGTTTTTAGTAGTTTAAAGGCCATACCCAGGTTTTTCAGGGGGATGCAATGTTGCTCAGAGTACCATAACCACAATACCAGAGAAACCTTTTTATAGCCAGCAGAGGTTGCCTTAGATTTGTACACAACATTTTGTTGAGGCTTTTAAAGCCATGATGAATAAATGATGCTCTGCCTTTGAAGTTCACTGCAGTAGATGTCTCAGTTAATGGAGACAGAGTTTTAACAACTCTCATTAGAAAAGCTCTTAAAAGAAATAGTTAGCGATGTTATTCACAGTTGAGTCTGCATAGTGTCACATCATCCATCACTCAATTCCTGTGCAATGTAAAGTGTGTCGAGGAACGAGCGAGGGAAACAAAACACTGTGACAGCGCTGTGGTCTCATGCTGTCACTGTGGAGTGGAGCACCAACATGTACAGAAGGGGAAAGTGGGAAGGAAACTCATGAAAATTTAAAAAATGGCAATATCAAACATCTCTTAGGGGGTTAGCATATGCATTTATGTGTGCTAGGAGGTGCACATGTGTATGTGTCTCTCTATAAAAATCCAATAATTTCTGGAAAGCCCATTTAAAGCCTCTATTCCAAGTGCTGAGACTGCTCTTTTACATGTTTGCTTTCTCAAGACGACTTTCACTTCACTCCCATTCATTCCATCACAGTCTGTTCCAGGGATCAAAGTAGCTTGATATTGTTTACAAAACTAGATGTCATCTGTGCCTCTTTCTTCTAGTGAAAGCAGCAACAAAATGTGTTTTTAATCTGTTTTAATGTCTCTCATTTAAGTTTTTAACAAATATGCATTTTCAGTTTAATTATATATGGATTAAATATAAAACTGACCAGTCCAATAAAAGGTAACATGACTGTAGGAATTAATGACAAAAAGGCACTGAGCTTGAATTGATGTCATTAGGCCCAGCTGTCAACTAGTTGATCCCACTGTGAGTCCACTGAATCTCAAAGTAAACATCCCAAACTAAGCATTACAGCAAAAAAGCAAACGAATGAATCCATACAACAATTCAACATACAGCAATACATTCATCTTCCATGCATTTATAAGAACATTCATTTGCTTACCTATTAGTATAAGCATGCACACCAGTAATGCTATAAGTGCCCCAGGACTGAGAGCTGCACTCATTACATAGGCTGTGGCATTGCAGGACTGGATGGCTCCATCTGCATTATAAAACATAAAAGGAGCATTTACTTTGCAAATTCAACACAAGCAGTTTGTCAAAGCCTCATCTTGTAAAGAAAATGTCTTTTATCATGTATATATTATGATTTTAAGAGTGTGAAATCTCTGTAGAGGACCATTTTGATGCAAATTTATGCCCTTGTGTTATTTTGTTGTTTGGCATGTAGATGACCTTTTAGCACTCCCGCTTCTGCAGAAGGTGACAGTGATGATAATGTTAGTAATGGTGCAGCTCATACAGCAGCACTCACCTGTGTCACAGCCGCAAACACGAATGGTCAGGGTGCCTGTGGAGCTGAGGGAGGGAGGTCCACTGTCAACCACTAGAATAGGCAGGAAGTACACGTTCTGCTCATGGCGGTTAAAGCCTGACCGCTGAGTCCGGATGCCAGCTGTGTTGTCTGGGTCAGATATGGGTTGGGATCAGAGAGAAGGTAAAGCAGAGAAACACATATTAGTGTCTTTATGATAAATAATACCATCTATGTCTCCTTGATAGTGTCTAGCTTTTACTAGCCTTCAGTACATTTCATGGAACTCAAATCAGTAAGTTTATTATCACTGTTGTGGTTTTTTGTCTACTTTGTACTTACATCTGCACCGAGAAAAGCAGTAAAAAAAACTACTTGTAGAAGTGTTGTTCACTCAAACTTAAATAAATAATTATAGTTTTCAAGACTTGAAAGTTGACAATAATTCCAAGTAGAAGTAGAAGTAACTGAAGTAGAATAAATAATTTTAGTCGGTGCACAGTCCAAGGTTTCCAGATAAAGAATGTCAAGTTTAACCTGAGGTTAAACTTTTATGGTAAAATAAACTGCTTTTATGCCATTAACATTTAACATGTATCTTCTTTTTCAAAAGCAAACAACAAGAGGAGAGGAAATCACTGTGAAAGCCACTGTGTGAAATTAAACTTTACTTGTGTATGTACGAGCTCTCTGCCAGAGACAAAGATAAATGTAACTCAGAATACAGGATGAGGCTTTGACAAATAGAGTCAGAGTGGCTTCGAGGGTATACTTGCATAGAGGATAGCAAGTAATTCATCTCTTCAAACGTATATCACTGTTATTCGTGTTGTCTCGGAGCTCCTCTGACACATGTAGAACAATTTTCATATTACCGTTTAAGTACGGGAAGCCTACACCTCAGTTTGTCCTTTTGACTTTAACACAGCATTCCATTCCACTGCTACACGGAAAAGATTCTCCCTACATCTGCTACAGTCTGTATCCAACAGTAACAATGTAATTGATCACTTAATTTGTCAGTCCAAATGAACACAACAGTCTGAGACTGTATGCCTCTGAAAACTTTAAAACACCCCCACACCACGTATCGTTTAATTTCTGTATCCGGAAGGATAATTAGATTAGGATTCAGTTTTCAATTCTTTTTTATAACAAAATGTGTATTTTTATTTTCCTTTTAAATTTGTCTTATGTATCTTTTTAGCATGCCACGGGGCATTTCACCCATAACATGAAGGCAGTTTGTCATGTAGCAGCAAATTATATTTGTTGAGATAAGGTTTTGCTTTACAGACGACCAGCAACAACTTCAAAGAGTTTACCAACATGAAAAAAATGCCTTTTCATCATTGTGTGTCAAGACTTGGAGACAGAACGCAATGTGAGGCCATGATAAGGAAGAGAAGTGACAGATTGAAAGTGACAAGCTGACAAATGTGTCCATGAAAAAAAGGCAGTGTAAAAAAGAGGGGTAGAAGAATCAAAAGTCTGAGTGGTATTTTGTTTGCCTTACATCTAAACATATACATGTTCTGAGGTGTTGTTTGTGGGCTTGTAGGCTACATATATATATTTATATATGAAAGTTGTGTATTTTTTCCAGGGAAATAGGGTGACATTACATCTAAGAATATATGTATTGTGATTATTTACCAGTTTCCATAATCACCTACATAGAAGGCAGATATTGTAAGCAGACACTGATAACCTTTATGATTCTCCAATGTGTGTGTAAGTGTGCATTTTTTTGTGAAAAGGCAGAAAAACACTTGTGGTATACTTTTGCTGTCCCCAGTGTCTGTATCTTTATTATTGTGTTATATTTGTTGGATTCACATGTAAGCGAGCGGAACTGCAGCAGACCTTGCTGCCTCCTTTACAGTGACATTTCTGTGGCTCCGGCTGCTCCCCTGACATTTTCCTGGTGTCAGATCAATCTTGATTTAGCCAGTTGTCACATTCACTTAGGTACACATATCTAAACGACGGATCTGCAAGTGCATTTGCAAAAACACAGACAGGCATGGAGAAGCTCATCTTCCTGACAAAGCAAAGTCATCACTGGGGAACACTGATTTTAATGTTTCCTTACATTTTGCAGGTAGGTATAAATTTTATGTTCAACACAATATTTGAAAAAAAAAAAGTCATCATTTGAGGAATAGAGAAAAAATCCACTGTTAAAGTGTTCAAATGTGAAAGATATTCCAAAGCTTAAACATTTATATAAAAGGCTTTGAAAAAAATATAGTCACGGTACAACTCTGCAGTTTATGAGATATACCATAAAACCATAAAAATACTTTTTTTAAAATGCAGAGAATCATCCACATACTGGCATGCAATATTTTCTAATGATATTTTTCCCAACTAGCAGGAGCGTAACAGCTGGTGTTTATCCAAAAAATAATAATAGAAATATTTCCCTTTTATGAGACAAAGGTCTAATCACACAAAAAATACACAATTTTCCCTACACCGTAAAAAACATCTCAAACAACTTGTCTTCTGGCAGTTAACTTTATCGGTTATTTTATGTTAAAAACATCAACCATCTGGCACTGGATTAAAATAACGCAGAAACTGTAATTATGGATTTAAATTTATATTTTCACAAAGTTTTTTGAGCAACAGTCTTTTAAGTAAACATTGTCTTAAGGTGTATTTTTAAAAATGGATTTCACCAAATTTCTATATAGTGGTACGGTCCTTGCAGGGGGTATGTATACGAGTGTCCTGCTGCCTGTCCCCCTTAGGTGCCAGACTACTTAAAGCCAGAACTCGAGTGCCAGAGAGCCTTTTTGGTTTGTAGCTAGAGAGCTGTGTGTGGTGGTTGCTTAGTCCTGCTCTGTGAAGAGGAGTGTCTGTTTTGGTGATTCAGCCTTTTTGATTTACTTTATAATTCAGTGACAAAACTCGGGTTTAGTTGTTTCTTGTCTTTAAAAGGCGATAGTGGCTTGTCCGTCTCTTTCAATTTATTTAGTAAAAAAAATTAATACAAACTTTTAAGTTAGCAATTGTGCCTCCTTGTCTCCTTTTTTTCAACCTGGATACTTTTTGTTACTTTTCCTCATCACTTGGACCTTATAAGGGTCAATTATTAATAATAAAATATTATTAATTATATCACTTCATTATAGTGATAAGTATCAGTTCATTATAGATATGTCACACATGTGCACATCCAAATCCTTAAACTCACTCATAACAAATATAACACCTGGTCATAGACAGGACTCCTACTTTTACTGTCATTACCTAAAAATTCAATAATGCTGATAATCTTATCAGCATAGCTGCACAAATACTGAATGCTTATTCACACATAACTTTAATTTAGGATCTTTGCCCTCTTACCTTTTAAATCCAACAGGGAGAAGTACCGATTGCTGGAGGCTTCAGGGGCAAGATTGAAGTAGAAACGATGTCCAGACTGTGGCTCGTCCCTATCCACCACACTGATGGTGTGAATTAACTTAGGAAAGGAAAGAAGAAAAAGTGAAATAAAGTAACAAGAAAGGCACAGACGTTAAGACTTTTCTACGCATTTCAAATAAATGTATATATAAAAACACTTTGCATTTCAAATATTTCTTTTATAAACGAGAAACTGATGTGGAACGAGTGTACTTGGATGCAACAGACTAAGAAAGCGTCCGATATAACAGAGTAGTTTAAAGGGACTACAGTTGCAAAGAGACTTTAAAAAATCCTTTCTAGAAAGTTGACACAGCAAAATAATAAAAAAAAAAAGTCTTATGGTAGAAATGCAAAACTGCCATAAAATATCTCACTAAAAAGAGAAAAGAACTAAGAACAGAAAAAAAGAGCCAGAGTCAGAGACACTCTCTGATGTTGCCATATTTGTGCTAAGAAGGAGTAAAGTCAAAATGGAAATGTGTAGGAGAACAGAAAGAAAGACAGACTAGGTGGGGGTGTAGTTCTCGTATCTAATGCAATAATAATGATCCACATTCAAAGATAAAAATCAACTGTGATCCAATTTTGAGAACTCTGTGTGGATACAATAAGGTGAGATAGGATTCACTGTGAGCTGAACAGACATCAAACAGCCCCTGGAGATCCTTTCACCTTAACATGGGGCCCTCAGTGACAATTCATCTTCCTCTCATCCTATTACTCCACAGCCAGCATGAAACCACGAGCTGATAAATGATATTTTCACATCACATCCATCGGCTCTGTTTCTATGTTTCCTCTGCCAGTACACAACCTCTAAGACCATGTCATTACTATTTTGATTATCTTCATCTTTGTTTATTGCAAAACAATCACTGGGTTTAGGTAAATAAAATAAACCAAAAAAGCTGCAGACAAAACAGTACCTCTTCAAATTTGTTTGTTCAAAATAAATGTCAAAATGATCTACATGACATGGATGTTACGATGGCACTAGATGAAAAATATTTGTGATGCATGTGTGATATAACTTAAGTTATTTATTCACCCTTCTTTTTATATTAATGCATGTTATCTTAGCCATGTCTTCCAGCTGCCATTAACTAAATGATGTAAATATTTTCATAATAACTGATTTCATACAACCCACACTTAGTCAGATGAGTCACAGTTTGAACCACACTTATCTTAAAAAGTTTTTTTTAATCTCTTGAATCTCTCCCTTCTCTATTATGCCCATCCATGTGATTTCTGCACTTTAATATTAAATGAATATTAAAATTAATTGCACCTTCCTCGGTCTCTTGTTGGGACTGCTATCCCTCCAGCAGTTCTCAATGGCCACTAAACTTTATCCAACAAGGTGCATGAGCGTACAGGAAAGGTAGTGGAGGGGCCGGTCAAGTTAAGAGATTTTATGGGGCAAGCCAGTGTCAGTAATGAAAATTAACCAATGGGCAGGTGTCAGTGCTTGTAGTGCCAGCCCTTCAAGCCGACCTGTAGACTGTTTAATTATGTCAACAAAGAGAAAAATAAATTATAGTGATCCATTGGAAGATGCAAAGTATGCCTGATTACCAGTCCAGCCCTATCACTACATCACAACAAAGGTTGCTTGAAGTTAAAGATCACACAATAATACAGAGAAATCCACAACAACCAGATGAGACCCTGTGAGAAAGCACTTGGTGACAGGGGGAAGAAAAAACTCCCTTTTAACAGGAAGAAGAAGGAAAAAAATGAACATTTAACATACGTGAGTATGTGGATGATTATTTTAAGCCTCATCACATCTTAATTGTTTGATTTGTCAAAGTCAAAAGTCAAAGTCAAAGTCAACTTTATTTGTCAATTCTGCCACATGTACAGGACATACAGAGAATAGAAATTCCGTTACTCTCAAACCCTAGATGAAATAGCAAATGAACATTTAAATATAAGAGAGTGATTAAAAAATGCAAATAAAAAATAAAAAGTAAAAATTTAAATAAATACAATACAATTTAACAAGAAAGCTATGCAATATACAATATACAATATTCAGGTAAGGGTAAATGACATTGAGTGTAAACCAGGCAGAGTAGTGCAAATAGGCAAATAGTGCAAATGGAGATCTAGTAATATACGGTAAGAGATTTGCAATCAACTTCAGTGGTTCTGATAAAATTACAAAAACAAACAAACAAACAAAAAACAGTCGTCATCAGCAGCATCATTCTGATTGCAAACACAGCTTCCCTCTGACCTAATCTACATTCTTTAAAGATTTAGGACTTATGCTCGACACTCTGCACTTAGTTGCAAAACACCGCATTATATGACAGAGATAAAGTGTCTAGGCAGAAAATCATTGCATAAAACAAATTATTAAAAATATACATATAAAATGTAAATGGTTGAGAAAGGAATGTGGAACAGGCAATATCTCCTGAAGTCCACCACTGTTATAATTTTTGTAGAACCTTGTAAAAAGACCAGCAAATTTATTTTAGCCTTTATAGTGGGGTTATTTTTTGTAATATTGTTTTTGGTGTTGAGGCAGACAAGTTTTATCTTGTACTAGGTGACGGGTACATGTACACACACACACACACACACACACACACACACACACACACAGAGTTCAAAATCAGTAGAGACACACACAACAAACAACCTCCAGAACTCTTAAGTGAGGCATTTTTCAGAATGATTAAAGCAGGTGTTCGACAGTTGTAATTCCTTTGTCTGGTTTCAGAAAAGCACGCAGGATCAGATAAGATCAAGAGAAATGAATCAAGCCATTACTCAGCTGTTAGTCTCTTCTTTTAGATGCAGGATACAGGTGCAGAAAAATGTTAAAGAGTTTTTTTTTTTATTGAACTAAACCCTTCTGTCTTTTCTCTTCACCCGTATGCCTCTTTGGCCTGTTCTCACTGTTTGTCACGGTGATTACCTTTTTCTCTAATTGCTCGTCCTTTACATTTATCTTTTACAAAGTGTCTCCCTTTCATCCTTTTACAAAAATGCGTCCTTCATTCATCATCTGTAAATTGATTATTCAAACAATATTATTTTAGATGTAATCCATGTGGTTCACATATAAAGTCATCTGCTTCATTGTGTGATTTTAAGCTCAATTTGCCCGTCTGTGAGACAGCCTCATTTATGGCACTGCACAGAACTCTTTGAGCCTGAGTGATGGCTATGCATTACTGTGACTAAGCTACTGCTGAGCACACTTCCGGGCCACAATTGTGCCTTCACAATAAACAGCGTCTCAGGATTGACGTTGCATCACAAACACAGAACAGGCTTAGTCATACTAACAGCTCAGGGAGGCTGTTTTGGAAAATATGCCTTACTTTGTAATTACAAAATGCTACAGCATGATTTCAGACTAAATCACTGCTTCTTCCTCAGTGTGGTGCAAAATCTCCACTCACAAATTATAGAAACGCATGGACTATGAAATAGTGGCTGTACTCATAAAATGTGATTAAAAAAATGAAAGCATATTATGAGACGACTCAAATCCCACATTTTATATTCAACATTTTTTACACATGAGCCAGTGTCAAGAGAATCATATCAGGATATCGTCTGCAGTTCGCCTTTCTCACGTCCGCCACACACCGTGAGCCTCTCCATATCAGATACGGGCACACTCCTCGAAATACAGTTTGGTTGAGCAATGTGAGTGCTTGGTTACGGTCTGCAGTGCCCAGATAAAACTCCCAGAACAATTTACCTTTACTGTTTTTAACTCAGACACAATCAGACATAACACAGACTTTCTAGGGCACTGGCAAGTCTGTTTAATGTGAGATCATACTGAGTCACATGCAGCTTTGCAAGTTAATGTCAAGAAGCATTAAGAGCGGCATTACATGTGTGTGGTAGCTTAGACATGTAGAATGAGGTTCTATGCCCACAGGGCATGCTTTTTTCCTCAGTGTTATTGTATTGTCTTTTTGTTACAATATAAAGCACCTTGAGCCGACTTAGCGCTTTATAAACAAAATTGAATTGAAAATTGAAAAGTTTTTTTGCACAGTATCAGAGGATACAAATCTTCTGTAGCTGTCTTTGGTGAAAAAACACCAAAGTACACAGTGTTTTGTATTGTCAGTTTGAAAATAGGACAATTTTGGATATAGTTCAGCATGACAGCACTAATCAGTGTCACTTCTTTCTCCCTAACCAATCAAAACCAAGAAGAGGTGGGACCTACAATATCAATACTGTCCAGAGTGCCAGAAGAAGAAACTGATTCTAGCTGTCACTGACAAACTAGTAATTTACAATCTAACATCGAAGAAGACGGTTTTGTAACCTAGCAACAATAAGTGCTTCAGAGAAGTGTTCTAAAAATGGGGTCATTCGTGGATCTAGAGTTAAGAAAAAAAGAAACAAACAAAAAAACCCTTCAGCTATAATGCCAGGATCCAACCTTATACATACTCTAAATGTAAATGATGTTTAATGTAACCCCAAGATATTTTTGATATCTTCTTTTCCACAATGATGTGGAAAAATGAGCAATGCCATCTCATTTGCTTTCTTGATTGGAGCACCGTGACTAAAGTTTCCTACACACTTTGAATATGTCACACATTGCCAGTGTTGGTACAAACATCCATGCCACAGTCGGCATGTTGTCTCCATCAGAGTTATATGACTGCTTTAATCGTGAATTGCAAATTATTTCATGAAAATACTGTAAACCATGGCTCAAATGTTTGCACTACTGTTTTATATCTTTGATTTCTTCTATAATCACACTTCAATTCATTTAATATGAGAATTTAAAGAAGAGCAAAGGCCAAGCAAAATTCAAAAAGGGACAAACATACCCTCTAAAGACATTTGTATTTCCCAGAGTATTTTGACCGGCAATAAACATCTTTACGTGTGTGTGTCTTCTCACACAATAACATAGACACAGTGACATAGGGCATAAACTACCACATATACACAGTGATCTATGAAAAATACAGTTCAGTGTTGTATGCCAAAACGGGATGATAGTTTCTTCTCATCGTTCTCTGAAGCACTGTCAACTTTATTTCTCTC